CATATGCCTGGGCTTCTACCCATTTAGGAAAGTAGTCAGTCATAAATAATATAAATCGGGCCTTACCAGGTGCCCATGGAAGGGGGTCGACGATATCCATCCCCCACTTCATGAATGGCCATGGAGACAAAACTGAATGCAGCAGCTCCCCAGGTTGATGAATCATTGGAGCGTATCTTTGACATCCATCACATTTTCGGACGAATTCCTTTGCGTCTTTTTCTATGTCGATCCAGTAATATCCACCCATGATTATTTTGTGAACCAATGATTCGGCGTCCGAATGATTTCCATAGGTACCTTTGTGGATTCCCTCAGAATGTACTCAATATCCCCCGGCCCTAGACATATTGTAAGTGGGCCATCGAATGATCTTCTGAACAAGGTTCCATCTTCGGACAGGCTAAATTGGACTGCCTTTGTACGCAGGGCCCTCGATTCTTTCGGGTCTGAAGGCAGCTTTTCGTTCCTGAGATATTCCACGTACTTATTCCTCCAGTCCCAAGTTAAGCTCGTTGAGTTGATCTCGGCATGGCCTTCTTTCACCACAGATCTCATAAGCTGCACGACTTCACCCGAGTTGAACTCGTTGTCTTCGATTGGCGATCCTAGGTTAGCGAGGGTATCGGCCTCGCTGTTTTGATCCCGAGGTACATGTTGTAAAGTCCATTCCTTGAATCGATGTAACGTCACCTGTAACTTGTCTAAGTATCTCTGCATTCATTCTTATCTAACCTCGAACGTTCCATTAACTTGGTTTATCACAAGAAAGGAGTCACACTTAGCATCGATCACCTCCGGCCCCCAAGATTTTGGCTAGTTCGAGACCTTCAATCATGGCCTCATATTCGGCCTCATTGTTAGTCAATTTCATAGTCTTAATAGATTGTCTAATTATATTACTTGTTGATGCCTTTAGTACAATACCAAGTCTGGATCCTTTTGCGTTCGAAGCACTGTCTGTAAAGAGGGTCCAGATTCCCTAAGAAGTTCCTGAGTTAACCAATAACTCTCTTTCGACCTAGGGTATCAGGGTCGACGTGAAATCGGACACAAAGTCTGCCAAAATTTGGGACTTAATGGTGGTTCGAGGTCGGTACTCAATATCGTACCCACTCACTTCCACTGCCCACTTGGCTAATCGACCCGAGAGTTCGGGCTTATGCATAATGTTCCTTAACGGATAAGTAGCTACGACACATATGGGGTGACATTGGAAATATGGTTTTAGCTTCCTAGAGGCACTTAGCAAAGCGAGCGCCAGTCTCTCTAGGTGAGGGTACTTAGTTTAGGCCTCACCTAAGGTCTTGCTAACATAATAAATTGGAAATTGCATACCTTGCTCTTCCCGAACCAAGACTCTACTTACCGCTACCTCCGAGACCGCTAGGTACAAGTACAGTTGTTCGTATGCCTTTGGTGTGTGAAGCAGTGGTAGGCTCGATAAGTATCTCTTGAGCTCGTTTGACATTCCGGAGTCCATGAGAAGCTATTCCTCTTTTTTAACAGTGCAAAGAGTCGGTGGATCTTATCGGACGACCTCGAGATAAATCGACCCAGGGCGACTATACGCCCTGTTAGGCTTTGCACAGCCTTTACGTTGTCCACGACCGTGATGTCTTCAATGGCTTTGATCTTGTCGGAGTTAATCTCGATCCCTCTGTCAGATACCATGAACCCGAGGAATTTTCCTAATCCAACTTCGAATGCATACTTTTCTGGGTTCAACTTCATATTGTACTTTTTTAGTATGCTGAAGGTTTCCTGCAAATGTTTTAAATAGTTCTCTGCTCGTAGGGATTTAACCAACATATCATCAATGTAAACTTCTATCATTTTTCCTATTTTTTCCTAGAACATTCGATTTACTAGACGTTGATAGGTGGCACATGCATTTTTTTAATCCGAATGGCATTACGTTATAGCAGTACGTGACGTATTTAGTGATGAAGGAAGTTTTTTCCTGGTCATACGGGTTCATCCGTATTTGATTATACCCGGAATAGGCGTCGAGAAAACTGAGGATCTCGTGGCCGGTCGTGGAATCGATCATGCAATCAATGTTGGGCAAAGGGAAAGAGTCATTGGGACATGCTTTGTTCAAATCCTTATAATCTACGCACATTCTTAATTTGTCTCCTTTTTAGGGACTATCACTATGCTTGCTAACCATTCCGGGTATTTAACCTCCCGAATGGACCCTATTTTAAGGAGTTTAGATACCTTATCCTTGATGAAGGCATATTTCACTTCAGACTGGGGTCTCCTCTTCTGCTTGACCGGATTGATTTTCGGGTTCAGGCTTAGCTTATGAGTAGTTATCTCCGGTGGAATCCATGTCATATCAAGATGGGACCAAGCAAAACAATCTATGTTAACTATAAGAAATTAAAAAAAAAATTCTCTTGAGCTCGGGAGTTAGTTCTGTGCCCAGGTATACCTTTCGATCGGGCAAATGCTCGATCAATATAACCTGTTCCAGCTCTTCGACCGTCGATTTGGTTGTGTCGGAGTCATCAGGGATTATAAAAGATCGGGGAACCCGTAATCATCGTCTTCACAAGTCTTTTGCTTATCTGATTGGATCGTGACCGATATCGGTAATTGCTATTTGGCCTCTAGGTCGGTGCTCGAATTCGGCTCTTTCGGTGTTGTGAGTGTTGATGTCGGAACCACTTCTTGGATGGCAAACATCTCTTTTGCGGCCGGTTGTTCCCCTTAGATTGTCTTGATCCCCCCGGAACATGGAATTTTAGCACTTGGTGAAGAGTCGAAGGTACTGCCTTCATGTAGTGGATCCACGGCCTTCCGAGAAGGGCGTTGTACCTCATGTCCCCTTCGATTACATAAAACTTGGCCTATCGTATGATTCCGACGGTATTGACCGGCACTACAATATTATGCATCTATAGCTACGAATTCTCAGCAACAAATACGAAAGTCGTGGCTAATACCTAACAACAACCACAAAAATTAAAATTTCATAGATATTTACAATTTCGTAAAATTTATTAGCTACAAAATTAAATTGGCAAAACTAATTCTCTATTTTTGCTATAGTTACTAACTATCGTGGCAATAATTATCCAAATAGCTACAAATTTATTGCTACAACAAAACTTCGTAACTAATCGTATATTTTTTGCCACGCATTTGAAGTTAATATAGCAATAGCAATCTTATAGCCACAAAGAATTAGTTGAAATAAAATGTTATAGCTAAATAGATCTTTTTGCTTCAAGCTATAAAACTTTGTGGCAATAAGTGGTTTAATAGCTACAAACTTATTCATACATTTGTAGCTAATAGAAAGTTTTTGCTACGCGTTTGAAGCTATTGTAGCAATACTAACTTTTTAGCCACAAAAATTACTTGAAATAAAATGTTGTAACTAAATGAATATTTTTGCTTCTATAAAAAATTGTAGTAATGGCTGGCTCAATAGCTACAAATTTATTTTCATAATAAAATTCATAGCTAAATATAAGCTCTCATCACACATTTGAAGTTATTTTGGTAATATTTAGCCATAATAAAAAATTTAAAACAAATGTTGAATTGAAAGAATTTTTTTTATTCAAGTTATAAGAAATCGTGGCAATAGTTGGATTAATAGTTACAAGGGTTTATTATGATAAATTGGTATAACCACAAATTGAGAGAGACAATAAACTTCCGTAACTAAATTATAAGTCTTTGTCATGCACATGAAATTACCATATCAATAGTATTATTTTGAATCACAATAAATTAGTCGTAACAAAAACTCATAGTTGAATAAATATTTTTTCTTTGATTACAGAAATCATTACAAGAGTTTTTCCAAAAGAGAGAAGTTTTATGGAAAATAAATTTTAAATATAAAAGTTAGATTACTCCTACAATATAGAAAATTAGTAATTGTATATAAGTTAAGTAACTTAATTCGCAAATAACAAATATTAAGGTACAAAGCACAATCTTCAATAATGCTCAAATTTATACCTATTTTAAAATAAGTACTCATATAGTAAAGACTTTGATAGTTTGTAGAGATATTTATATATGTGTGGTCCTTAATTATTTAAAATAAATATTTAGAGTAATTTTATATACTTTAACTTATTTTCAAGATAATTACTTGTATATTAAGAACTTTGTGGTAATTTTGGTGCATTTAATTTTGACAAATGACCAAAGGTCCCAAATTCACACAAAGAACATACTAACTCTATACAAAGAAAAAGAAAATCTAATTCTTGTGACATATGAAATTCTGTAACCACGAAATAATGATAGACATTTAACAAAATTTCGTTGCTAACAATATAGAAACTAATCATATTAGTTTTAAAAAAATATGTTTTACTAATTATGTAATTTTAAAAAAATAAGTTTTCTAATATCTAGTTACTCTAAGAGTTAAGAATCTAATATGGCTGATATTTAAGTCCATAACAAAAATAATTATATTATAAGTCCTATTAAATAAGTATTACCTATAACTATAAGTTCCCATTATAATTAAAATAAAATTTTAATTATGTCTAAATAATGTGTAAATAATTAATTATATAGAATAAATAACCATAAGCTCACTGTATAACTAGTAATGTATATTTAATCTAGACAATAAATATATTTATAATGATTTGGTCCTTTATCAAAGAAAAAAAAAACATTACCATCTTTTCAGCTATGTCAGAGTCATTATCACATTCTGTGATTAGTAAATCACTAGGTATTTTATTGAATTAAATTTTTGTATCTAATATATCACAATTAAACAAGTATGATCTTGTATATAATTATAATGATTTCTAATTATATTCTATTTGAATAATAATAAAAATTTATTCATGAAAATATTTAATTTGTTCTACTATGTATAATGTAAATTAAATATATAATTAATTTTGTTTTTATACATTTATCTACATTTATAATATTTGTGCATAAAAAGTTAAAAAATTAAAAAAATAGGGATATAAAAGAAGAATGAGATCCCCAAAACCCAGCCCCTCACCTTTGTTTTATCTCTCCAGCCGCCACACCTTCTCCCATTTTCCCAACTCCTTCGTCAACCACTAGAGAAGCTAAGGTATGTTTCTATCTTCTTTAAATCTCACTTTTATGTCATTAATCACTAACATATATATCAACATTTCGTTGGTTACTTTATTTCTTCCTTTTTATTATTTTCAATGTGTACATCAGATTTTATTTTGGTAGAAGCATCTTTATTCTTCTTCTTAGTTAATTGGGAAAAGAAAAAGTTATGAGGAGAAAAGTTTTAATCTTTACGTTTATTATTAGATTGGTATATCAGTAATACTTTATCTCGTTATGGTTGAAGCTTCTGAAATATGATTCAGGAGATGCTTTAATCATTTTTTATGAAATTAATTTTGATCCTTTTCCTTAGTGGTTTCAGGTGATTACGGATTTTTTAACCGATATTACTCTTTTATCGACGCGAATGAATTCTATTGGTATTACCTACGCCTGTTGTTGCTCATGTTAATATATATGTCGGTATCTTTCCTATAGTTCTTCCATGAAATGATAATGTAGGACTACATGCTTGTTCTTTGATTGAGCTAAGGCTTTGTTAAAAGAAACTTCTAGGGCAAAAGATTGAATTGTATTATGAAATATTTGGAGTTTTACTATCCGTTTTAAGATTATTGGGAGTCTTATTATCTCATAAAATTGGTCATATAAGCATGTTAAGGAGATATTAGTAAAGCTAGTACTAATTAAACCATTTAGAGAGATATATGATCTTTTTATGAGAAGGTAATCTATAATGCTTTTCTATAAAATATATGACCATTCTGAACCTATTAATAAAGTGTATATATGATCAATTATTTTTTGTTTCCTAATGTTAATTTACTTTATCAAAACTGACAGGCAAATTGTGGAATCATCAAGCTAAGATTGTATTGATCAGACTAAGGTGCAGTTGGAGCAATAGAAGGAGAGAAAGGGGAAGATTGTGTGGCTTTTGGTCTCAAGCAAAATATTGCTAACATGATCCGATACATAGAGAATTATGTATTTTAAATGTTTTGAAATTTTGAATATACAATTATGTGCAAGTTGGAACCTATTTTGGAATCTAAAAGATTTGGATTCTTAGCTTCAAAATTCTTGTGCCTAACAATGCTTGTGGCAAAATTCTTCAATTTGTAGCAATAGAATTTTTGATGCGTAGCTAATTAATATAATTGCCACGTAACAAGAATATGGCTATACATTTTTTCTTTTTGTAGCAAATGGAAAAAATCTTTAGCTATAAATCTATATATTTCATAGCAAAAGAATGGATTCACAGCTATAAAAAAAATTTAACTCGTAGCTAAATATAAGTACTATTGCCACGAGACTCAACTATAAAAATAGCCACAAAAGTTGAATTTTCGTGGCAAATAAATTAAACTTTTTGCCACAGTAGAATATCTTGTGGCTACAATATAAAGATTGCTACATAGTTTATTTGTCGTGTCAAAAAAAAAAATTATTTGCTATAAGTATATATTTCGTGGCAACAAAGCTTACCAATATAACAACAAGACAATTTTTTTTGTAGCAATATGTATTAGTCCTTAGCCACACATCATTTAAAGTTTGTAGCTAACTTTTAGTTACGTTACTTCTTGCTAGCAATTCTATAAAAAAAAAAAATTGTAGCTAAAGTGTATAGCCACGGAAATTTTTATATTTAGCTACGATGCATCTTGTAGTTATAGATGCATATTGTTGTAGTGCGGTAACATTATCTCTCCCTTGGTGGTTTCACATGCCATGTTGAACCCGTTTAGGACTCGCACTGCTGACACGATCCTGTCTTGTAGACCGAGCTGTTCTACGACCTTCGACCGAATAATATTGGCCGAGCTACCTAGATCAATTAACACACGTTTAATTCTAGTTTTATTTACGAGTACAGATATTACCAGTGCATAATTGTGAGGTTGTATGATCCCTTTCGCATCACCGTCGCTGAAGGATAAGACTCCTTCCGGTATGTAGTCTCGAGTTCGTTTCTCCATGGTGATGGAGATTCTGGTGCGTTTCAACATTGGCTTCTGTGGGATATCGAGTCCACCGATGATCAAATTAATTATGTGTTGAGGTTCGGTATCTTCTTATTCCGTTTGTCGGTTAGAATCCCTATTCCTGAAATGATTCTTGGCTAGGTCGCTCAAGAACTCTCGAAGGTGCCCGTTGTTGAATATTCGGGCTACTTCTTCTCTCAGTTGTCGACAGTCTTTCGTTCTATGACCGTGAGCTCCATGATATTTGCATAGTTGGTTGGGATCCCTTTGAGATGGATCAGATTGTAGAGGTCGAGGCCATTTGGTATCCTTGATTCGCCCGATAGCTGATACGATAGCAACTACATCGATATTAAAGTTGTACTCTGATAGCCTCGGCGCTTCTTTGGGCCCATTGGGCCTGTCAAAACTGTTTTTGGTCATTACCCCCGGTTGCTTCAACCTTGGTCATTTATTTTTTTGTTTATTATGGGGTTCTGCCCGGACAAACTGCTCATCCGATCTCCATTATATGGCCGATATCGATAGCTGTTTGATCCTAGTTCACGATCGATGTCTCTCTTGACACTATCGAGAGTTCTGGCGGGATAAATAGACTCTGAAGGTGCCCCGAGTTGATCATCTTCGACTCTGATTTTTGATTGATATCGATTGTGTACATCGGGCCATGTAACGGCACGGTATTCTATCAGATTTTGCTAGAATTGCTGCGAAGCCATCGAGCTTCGAATATTGAGTCCCTGAGTGAAAGCCTGAACAACTCAATCATCAGCGACCGGAGGTAGATCCATTCGTTCCATTTGAAAATGGGACACGAACTCCCTCAGCATCTCGTTATCCATCCGTTTAACTTTGAAAAGGTCTGATTTCCTGGTTTCGACCTTGATGGCACCAGCATATGCTTTTACGAAAGAGTAATGAATCAATAGAATTAGGAGGTAAGTTATGATACCATATCATGGCTCCCTTTGACAGGGTCTCCCCAAATTTTTTCAGTAAAACAGACTCGATCTCGTCGTCTTCCAAGTCGTTTCCTTTGATGGCACATGTATAAGAGGTCACGTGCTCGTTTGGATCGGTTGTTCCGTTATACTTAGGTATTTCGGGCATACAAAATTATTTGGGGATCGATTTTGGGGCCACGCTTGGTGGAAAAGGTTTTCGCACGAACTTCCTGGAATCCAGTCCCTTCAATATCGGGGGCGCTCCTGGGATTTGATCTACCCTGGAATTATAGGTTTCGACTTTTTTATCGTTCGCTTCGATCTTCTTTTCCCCTGATTCTACCCGCTTTGTCAACTCCTCAAGAATTTTTATAATTTCGGGGTTAGTCCCTGACTCTTGTTCATTCGATCTTACCACGACCGGTTAGTTCTGCGAGTGACTTCTTGGGGCGGATCGGGTCCAACTCTGCTCGGTGTCTGGTTTTGGCTCTGTAACTGAGCTATCACTACCTGTTGATCTTGCAACATTTTGAAGATCATGCATAGACTGATCCCGTCTTCTTCAATATTTTGTATGTTTCGATCTGCCGATCGGGGTCCACCACGGACGCTATTTTCAAGGTTGGTAGGCAAGTTCGCGTCGATGGCCACATGCGAATTTACATCAATTGGATCCGCGGTCCGAATTCCAACGACATCAATGGGTGGCCCTGCATAACCGGATGCCATGTTGTTATTCTCACCTTGATGACCGGACTCGTTGTCGATATGTAGATGTGCTAATCGAGAGTTTGTCATTTTTAGCCTGAAATCAAAGACACTTCAAAGGGCAAGTGTAAAGCAGTGTGTGTTATGAAGATTTGTATCAAATAACCACTATTATCCTTAGCCCCACGGTGAGCGCCAAACTGTTTACCCTCAAAATCGGATAACAATTGAATTTATACGCGGTTTTAAGGATACGTGATCTATTTGATACAAAGCAAGAAATCATATTTAATGTGGAAGTAAAGATAATTGTAAACCACGCAAGTTGAACAACCTAGGCCTTGTGAGTTCAATCTTCTTCGACCTTAGATATAATATTATTGAAGCCGGAATGGTATGAACAAAGCTAGAAATAATAGTATGTTGTTCTTTGAAGTATGTTACAATGTCTTCCCATGAATTACTGAGTTTCCCTTATATATTAAGGGAGATCTTCCTTTTAAGACATTTTTTATAATAAAAAAAATATAAGTCCTTGATTTTGTAGACCGTTGGCCCCTTTTTTGACCTAATCCCGTGATTTTTGCCATAATTATCGGTTAATGATGAGAATCACGGATCCTTGTCGGATGAGTTGTCGAAACTTTTCTTCGAGGTCGTTAGAAGCAGGATCGGTCGTGCCTTCGGTAAACTCGAGGGCAAATCTGATGGTCTCGATGGCCTGTTTTGACGATACTTTTAGGTCCGACAATATCATAGTCCGATCTTAGCTGACCATGCCGAACTTCGAACCTCGATATCGAGCTCGGTTTCATCCGTAACTTTGATCTCTTACAGATGTGCCGAGCCTGGCCTACCGTTCCAGATGCTCGATCAAGCATCGAGCTCGGTTTTACCCGTATACAGATCTTAAAGGCATGATCACAGAAAGAAGATTTGCTAGAGCAGCTTATTTTTTAATATAGTTACTTTGGATCTAATCAACCTACTTTTAGTATCAACTCCTCTAAAGGTAAAATCATTCTTCTTCATGTACAGTGTGAGGAAATAAGGCATTTTAATTTTTGGATAGAGATGAGATAAACTTGACTAGGAGTACTCTAGAAAGGAGTTTCGGCGCAATAATAAGAGTTGTCGTTGTATGATTAAAATATTACTGGTTTAAGGTGTGGAAACTCTTTAGAAATGCAAGGTAATTAGACTTTACACAATAGACCAAATGGTAGCTTAGTGTACAGGCTCGGCATTTATTGTTTTACTCCGTAAACTGCAAACATGTTAGTATAACATTTACAACCGTATAGAAGTTTGTAGCCTTCTGCTTTCCCTCACCAAAATCATAGCTTTGCCTTATTAAGATTTAACTTGTAATTTATTCATCAGCTATTATAGGTAAGTTATAAAGGATTAGACAACTGATTCTTAGTTTTTCCATAGGAATGACATTGCCAGACACATCATGGTCTAATAAATCCCAGATCCGAGTATAAGGTAAAATTGTAAATTTCATTTGTTTAGTGCATTTTATGACATCAAATTGATCGTAACTACTATAAGAAATTGTTCAGCAAATCTCCGATTGGTTGGAGAAAAACTTGGGAACACATTGAAAATGTATTTCTTTGATGGCAACTTTGTTCAAAGTTATTCGGTTTTGGATTTGTTCTCATTCAGTATATCTATGAAACATTGTCATATGTCATACCTTATTCTGTAAAATTGTAAGACTTGGCTTTAAGGTAATTACTGAAATTACATGAGATGCATGTGGATTAAAAAAGCAAACTCTGCTTATGAAGAATTAATGGAAGAAAATAGTAGTTTTTTATTGATGTTTATGAACAGAAAAGCTCCTTCTGAGGTTTTGAAATTCTTGCATGCAAAGTAAAACCTGCCATTCACATCTTTCCCCTTGATACTTTTGCAATATGACTGTTACTTAAGCTGGGTGCAGATAATTTAGAACTACTATTGTGTTCTGCAAGGTGTTATAGGGTCATCATGGAGAATTGCTTGGAAAAATTGGCGCATTTCTAGATTGTCTCAACTCTCAATGATATTGGCATGCCTATTGTAGCATTTTCTCTCAGAGACAACAGTAAATGTCCGTTTCGAAGTTTCTTAGCATCTTAGAAGATTTGGATAGATTGTCTCGACGTGCACCGCGCTGCTACATGCTAACACATTTAGTTTATAACATGCTTAGTGTCTTAGCTGAACATATTGTAATAGCCTTTAGGTCTTGACTTTGGATCCTTGCAGACATTTCTCTTTAGGTAACACAGTGAATGATGAAATGATATAGCATTGTTTTGTTGGGTCCGGGCTTTGCCCGGGATACCTCTACAAGTATATATATATATATATATATATATATATATATATATATATATTACTAC